TGTAATGCTGTGGTACACTCCTCCCCTGCTCCTGAGAAATATTTTTCTTAGGAGATGCAGTGGAAACATGGGTGTTGAGCAAGCGGAAGCTTGGTGCAGAACAGGGTGTGGAATGTGCCAGCAAAGCAAGGATGGGAGGGGGAAAAAAAGGGGTGGAAGTATGGGAGTTCAATAGAAGAAACACTCGGTTTCTGGTGAAGTCTTGCAAGATTCTTCAGGTGTGCTTCATGATGCTTTACTAGAGCTCAGGCTCTTCAAATCTCTTACCTGCTTTTGTTCTTATAGATGAGTCCCCCTCAAACTTTGGTCAATTCACCAATGTCCTTGAAAGATCTTCCTTTGTATTTTCTCAGTTGATAATGTTGTGTGACCTGTTACTCTGCATCCTCTCACTACCTTGCTGATCCTCAGTGTACCATCCCTTGCTTTTCTGAAAGATACTTTTGTCCATCTGTGTGAAGTGTTGGCCTGCTTCTGTATATTGTACCACAAGCAGATCACTAGTCTTCTAGCTGATAACTTGGCAACTGACCTCATCCAGCTGTTACTGATCTCCTTCATATATTTTACTATTCAAGCTGAGGCAGAAATAAGAAAGAAGTTACTGACAGTTTGCTCCCAGTCCTTTAGAAAGAAATGTTCAGTACATTTAAACAATGCAGAGCTTAGTAATTTTATTATGGAATATTGCAGCCTTTTTTTTTTTTTCCCCCCCTTGTGAAAAGGAAGTGGAGGTTATGCTGATAACCATTCTGGTGCTACTTCAACCACAGGACATGGAGAGAGCATTATGAAAGTGGTCTTAGCCCGACTGATCCTCCACCACATGGAGCAAGGTATATTCCAAACTTCCTGTAAGCTGAAATAATGAGGATAGGAAACGTTGCCTAATCACAGGTTTCAGTTTATGTATTATCATCCTAGAACAACTGTTACTCCCAGGTGTGTGTGCATGGATTACCTCTCTTTAAAAACAAAGCAAAGTTCTAATGTGTTAATAAAGCTAAAATAGCCATAAGTGGACAGAAATATCTATGCTGCTTGATGTTTAGTCATGTTTTAGATTAATGTGCATTGAAAGACGTTATTGTCTACTTTGTTTAATTGAAGTTCTATTTAATTTTTTTTTCCACTTTTAAACTAAAATTTTGTGAACAAACAGATACTAAGCAAGTAAAAGCAAGATCTTTTTAAGGAAGCAGTAGGGAAGGGCTAGAGATAATCAGAACTGAAAGCACAGAATTATCACCTTGCTAATAAACTATAATGTTTTTTGTTTTAACAACTCTACTTACAGCAACATAAATGCTTTTAAGACATTTAACTATGATTGAAATTTTTGTTTTGTTTTGGAAAATGTACCAAACTGGCTGGGTGGGTATGTGGTAAACAGCTGACACAGGATGTCTTATGTGACTGTAATATAATCTGACTGTGGGATGACCCTTTGGAGCTTTACCTTCATGAGTTAGTCTGTCATCTAAACCCTTGATTATATTACAGCCTGTAAACATAGCTAGAAAACGTACTTGTATTGCATGCAGTTGAAGAACCATTAATAGAGATACCACCATTATTTTTAGCAAGCCATAGCTTTCAGGCAGTACAGTGGAACTTGCTTTGAGATCAACCGAACTGGAAATAGTTGGAAAACTTTCAGTAACAGCTGAGAATATTTTCGTTATGCTTTATAGAGCTGTTCACATATAATGGGTGTATTTCTCTCTAAATCTCTTGGCTAATGTGATAGTTTCAACATAAAATACAGCCTACAGATTATTTCCCAAAGCTCTAACGTTATCATCTCCCCTTGCCCTCTATATTATGTCCCTGGCCATTATATTTCTGAATGGCCTTCTAAACTTCCTTTAGTCTAAACTGTGTAAACTAGTTTCTTCTCTGGCTCAAAGTTAACTAGATTGCAAAACCTGTGCATTGACAGCAGTTATCTGGCTTGTGATAAATCAGTATGAAAGGCAAATGAGACTCCAAAAAATTAAAAAACAAAAAGAGAAAAAGAAAATAAATCCGTATGTGTGCAGGTTTGATTGATTTGCACTTGCTCATCCTGTCTGTGCTTGTTGTACCTTAATTCATCCTGCCCAGAAGCATAACTCAGCTGCCAGGAAAATGCGTCAGCAATAGCTTCCCCCCCCTTGCCCACCTTCCACCACCCCACCCCCTACC